ATATATATATATATATATATATTGTCTTTTATTTGTATACAAACGTACTTTTTGGCAAGTGAAAGTGCAACAATTGTTTTCAAATATTCCACGTTTCAATAGTGTGGGTTAACATCATTATGAATAGAAGTAATTGTCAATTTGCCCATTTAAACTAATGGTAATGGACAATGATCTGTAGGTGGGTACCTATGCGATGCGTTAACTAAATATGACTCCTGTGCCGGAGAGTTTTGTCGAATGACCTGTGTGACAGCAATCACAGGATGATATATTATTGTTCCAGTCTTGTTTTTTTTTTTTTTTAGGGTAATTTACTGTTCCAGTACTCTAGCCTATGCCCAAAGATGAGTTCCACATATTATGATCAGTAGTGATTTTCAAGTTAATAGAAATTGAGTTAAAATACACCATTTTATTTGCACGCATATAGATGAATGTCATTTTTTATTGTTATTTTGATTGAATGTAGATGAATATCTTTAGTTATAAGAAACTGGAAAATAATTAAAAAAAATTGTTTTGTAGGACAGTCTAAATTGTTTAGTAAGACAACATTTGCTTCCCTAATGCAATGTTATAATTGATATACCAATTACAAATACAATATTTGAGTGTAAAAACACTTTTCAATGCAATTATATTTGTTGTGCTAAATTTACCATATGCTATATTTTGTGACAAATTTTTTTATCTTGGGAGGTTGTTGGAAAATGAGGGCCCGTTTAGTTCGCTAATTCGAGTTTTTAATTCGAATTGAGATGTGATTTTATGTGAGAGCTTTTTATTGTAGCGAAAAAATTAAATGTAACTGTTTCTGAGAGCTTTTTACTATAGCAAAACTCGAATTGGTGAAATGAACAATGCCTAAATGTATTGATTAAAGCCTATCCTCCATATCGCCACTTTGGGCACTAAAAGGAATAACAATATTAGAGGTATCAATAATGTTGAACACCAAACATTTATAGAAATACCGTACAATATGAAATCACTAATAAGATTCACTTTCTATTAGTTGTAGTGCTTAACACGGTTAACATTCTAAACATTTTTCTAAAAAGAAACATTTCTTACCAGAGTTGGCTCTTCCTCAACTATTGAAGAAGCAAACTAACTCTAGATTAATTCTATACAAACAACACTCCATAATCAGCAGACAATATCCATGTAAAAATAATTTAATTGTCAATTGAGACGGTCATTTGTGATGATGTATAAGTAAGAACACCATTTCTCCTAATAATACAAGGCTTCTTGGGGTAAAATCCAAGAGCAAAATTGTGCAGAATATTATACCAAGTGGAGGTGTGAGTCATTACAAATAGTATCAGAACTATGATCCAACTAGAAGTATGCCCAATGAGATCTTTAGGCCCCAAAAAGTGGGGTGATTGTGATGTCATCAATCCATTGAGATAAAAAAGTCAATATAGGGTAAGTTCTGTACTCTCACATCGCCTAGAGAACGTCATTTGCGATGGTTTATAAGTAAAGACACCATCTCCAAATGGTATGAGGCCTTTTAGAATAAAATATAAGAGTAATACCATACGAGCTTATGCCAAAAGTGGATAATATCATACTAAGTAGAAGTGTATCGTACCAAGTGAAGATGTTCGTTACAAACACTCACCACCTCATTTTGTTCAATACCCCATATCTAACTTTATAATAGCTCTATTAGTCCCTAACCTTTAAGAATAGTGACATTTTAATCCTGAATTTTTAATTGAGGCATATTTAGTCCTTGAATTTCAGAAAATTTTATATAAAGAGTTACAGTATGTGCAAAATATTATAATTTTTAATAAGTTTGAATAGTAACAAAGAGAAAATTTTATATATAACGTTTATCTTGTTAAATTTCATAAATTGTTTATCAATTTTACTGTTAGAAGCTTAATGACTAAATATGTCTAAATTAGAAGTTCAGGAATCAAAATGCTATCCTCAAATTCAAAAGACTAACAGAGTTATTGACCATTTTATTTATAGGGTAATTGAAGATATAAGTAAACTAAAAAAAAAAAAACTGCAGACTTCTTCTAAGTGTGTCGCTCGTGTTCTTCACCAACAATACTTTTGTCTATTTCTAAGCAATTAGGATTCTTTTCTTAGTTTCTCTCTTGGTTTAATTTTAAGGAAAATACTCGGCATTATAGTAATTGTAATATTGTTCAACAATATAGGGTCGAATCCCTTCAAAATACACACACACGATAGAAAATAAAAACGTATACATGTATTTTCTATTAGGTAACATAACAAATGACTTGATCATCATATAATATTGAATAGGATAAACAAATTCCGAGTACTCATTAATAAATTAGGTAAATCGAGTAATTTTCTCCTTTTTTTTTGGTTTATTGTAGGAAAACCCCAAGCTGGCAATAATAATAACAGTAATAAGAATAATAAATAATAATAATAATAAATAAACAATAAAACAAAAAATAAATAAGGAAAAAAATAAGTATTTTGGTGTTGATGAGAATATATATACATCTTGAGCTGCTTGACTCCTTAGTAGACAAATGAAAGAACAAGATAATAAACATATATTTCTGTCTTCCACTGGCAAACAGAAGAACTAATTAGAAGTATGTATAAACAGACAACATTTTTTCCGTAAAAGTGTAGATCAGTATATCGTACCCCAATGTTAAAGAACTTTCCCGGAATTTTCAAAGCCTCGTCGACTAGAATCAAACTGTTGTAATTTTTTTTTTTCCCCCTTTCTTTTTGTTTTTCTCAGCTACAATCATCGAAAACCAAAAAGGAAGAATAAGAAATAGAGAAAAGGAAAACGACAAGAGGTCAAGAGGAAGTTTCCTCAAACAAATAATATAGCCTCTAAATCTAACATATCCTTATTGTCTAAAAATGGGTAAACTATAAAATCTTGGTATATATGCTTATGCTTACCAAAATAGAACTTGTATGTAGAGCCATATTTCGACACTTGCTCGGAAGGAGGCGTCCTCTGCCTGACGAGTATTTTTACAATATATCTTCATTAATTTTCAGTACGAGTTGTTTCTTTTTTTCTCCTCATTTTATTGTTTCCATAAAAGACTTGCATGAACACATAGAGTACTACTATTGTTGCATTGATCAGTGTCTTATAATGATTGATCCCAATAATGTAAAGGGTTTTCTTCTTCGATTGGCATTTTTATGTTTTTGTTACATGTTATGTTTTTGGATGTTACCTAATTATCACTATATGTTGGCTATCATTTTCCTCTTTAATTACATATGCTGTTGAGTTGAAAAATCATATAAGGTGATTTATAGCCCGTTTGGTTGGAGGATTCGTTCTCTGATTTGAATTATAGTTCATAGTTCGCTACAGTATTTTCTCTCACAAAAAACACACGTAAATTGAAAATGGTTCTAATCTCATGGTTTTAATCCATGAACTAAACGGACTAGTGTTTTTCTTATAATTTAATTTATTTTGCGGCTTCAATAAATTTCCATGAAAGTGCATATGAGCTGTCATAATTGGTCTAATAAATTTACCGCCACAACTAGCCCACAAACCGCATGCCTTTTCATAGGAGGCTTGTGGTTTCACCACTTCCAAACCCGTCCTTGAAAAACCCGACTCGCACCCGCTCAAAACCGCCAACTCGTCTGATGTGCACCCCTAGAAATAAATTGTTGTGCTAGCGAGGAAAAAATTTAAACAAAATTAGCTTATCCTCATTATTTTAGCATCGCTTATATCATTTATGAAAATACTTCTGTTTTTTCTCTCGACAAAGAGCCTTATACGTAAAATACATGAAAAATTTTGTCCTCATTTTTCTGTCAGAGCTTACTATCATTTATGGCTAAAATACTTCTGTTTTTTCTCTCAACAAAAAGCCTTATACGTAAAATGCATGAAAAAAGGACTTTGTAAAATGTCTAAAAGAGATTTTTTTTTTTTTTTTTGCTTGGAAAAGAGAGACTTTTTTAAGATGGTATAAAAATGCTTTATCGTTAAGATAAATATTAATTTAACCCTAAATTTTTATATTTTATTTATACATGATTGTAATTTAATCTGATAAGTAAAATGTTGAACCTAAATTGGATAAAAATCCTATTTATCAATAATGATTTGCTTCATATTTTACTAGAGGATTCTCTAAAAATAAATAAATAAACCCTGTAAAGAATAATTAGGCTCTTTTTGTTTCAATAGTTTAGTTCAGTTCAACTTATTTTGATCAATGAGTATAATTTAAATTGGTATTTAATAAGCATATAGTTTAAATTATATTTCTCATTTAAACTGAGCTAAACAGTCTAACTTAGAGTTTAGCTTCTCTTTAAGTTCAACTATTCAAACCATTTTTAAACAGTAAAAATGTATCCACAGTCTCTGCTTTTCACATCTAGTAAATATAAATTTAAATTTTATTCTCTATTTAAATTAAAACTTTAAATATATATTTAAATATTAATTTAAATTATAATTTAAATTTTTTTATTCAAATCAAAATGTTTAAACCAGCTAAACAAACTGCGGCTAGAATTTTAGAAGCTTGAAGGAAAGGGTAATGAACAAAAAGTGGAAAAAGTAATTGCGAAAAGAATAAATAAATAAATAATCAAGTTTAGTTCCAGAGAAACTGCGAGAGAATCGACATTGACCAACCATAAAACTAGGACAAAAAAAAAAAAAAACGCAAAGAAAGACTCTGAGCTGACGTTAACATGGCAGAGAAATTGGCTCCGGAGAAGCGTCACAGTTTCGTTCACAATGGTGCGTTTTCTTCCATTTTTCTTTCACCGCTGTTCTGAACAAATCTCCATAGTTTTCATTTTTTTTTCAGGTCAGAAGGTGTTTGAATGGGACCAAACCCTAGAGGAGGTTAACGTATACATAAATCTTCCCCCAAATGTTCGTCCCAAGCAATTCTACTGCAAAATTCAGTCTAAGCATGTCGAAGTTGGAATTAAAGACAGCCCTCCTTACCTCAATGTCAGTCAAATTTCTCTCAAGTTTCATCCCTTTCGTAGTTTATGTTTTTTTTTCCCCCTTGGAATTTACGTTTGATTCGTTGATTTTTTTTTTAAATAATTGCAGCATGACCTTACTTGCCCGGTGAAGACGGATTCTTCCTTTTGGACGTTAGGTATTTGATTTGATTTGATTTGATCGTGTTTCTTTTAGTTTAATTCAGCTTCCTTTATCGCCTGTTTGGTTGCCGAGAAAATTAACGAAATTGGGAATTTCATTAGATTGTTTTTTTTTTTTGGGTCGTTTAAGACTGTACTTGTAGTGTTCTGGATTCAATTGTTTGTTGCGGTCCTAGTTCTATCAGATTCCCAACACTTGATCAGCGAGTGCTTGTGTTCGAATTTCCAATTAAAATTTTCCAATCTTGTGAGTTGTGGTTTTCTTTGCAGAGGATGATATAATGCATATAACTTTACAGAAGAGGGACAAAGGACAGACATGGGCTTCTCCCATATTGGGTCAGGGTCAGCTCGATCCTTATTCCTCCGATCTCGAACAGAAGCGCCTTATGCTTCAGAGATTTCAAGAAGAGGTGAGATTTCTGCTAAAATTGCTTAGCTCACATCTCATCATAAATGCCATCATGTTAGTCTCTTGATTTATTATGTTAGTGAAGCATAGCATATTTTTTTGCTCCATGCTCTTGTTGCTGTGATTATTTTGTCAATTGGAACGTAATGTAAAAGTTTTATCCATTTCATTCCCATTAGGCATTAGCTGTTTATTGCTAACATCTTGTTCTCCATTGAATTTCAGAGCACTTTGTCATAGCTGGTAGATTTAATTCTGCCTGTTTCATTGAGCTTTGATCTATTAGGCTTTCATCAAGAAGCGATTACATCTACCATTTATATAGATGTTTATTGAAACTAAAGTGATTGGACAAGGACACTATTGCAGACAAGGTAGCTACATGTGTGGAGATGGAAGCATATGCTTGCATTATTGACACACAAACTCCATTTGTGTGGGGATTGACCAAACATATGCGAGATGCATTCACTATATTTTGTAGTCAGTAGTATCTTAGAAATTTAATGCTTCTTTGGCATCCTATCGTCTCACTAGGTTTGGTTTTGATTAAGCGATGAAAATGTTCTTGTCTGTTGTGCCACTGTCGCACTATGACGTGCCTTGCATTTTTTGTTGTGCAGTTTGTGCTCAATGAGTGAACCTTAGCCATACTCTTTTCATTTGGACATGATACACGCAATATTTTTGAGACCTTTTCTGTTAACAACCTGTTTTTAACCTGCAGAACCCAGGTTTTGACTTCTCACAAGCCCAATTCTCGGGGAATTGTCCTGATCCAAGGACCTTTATGGGTGGAATCCGCTCCGATTGACAAGCTTTTGTATCTGTGCTTGAAAAGGTTGCAGTAGCCCGTTAGAAAATCCAAACTAACGTTAGTAAATAAGATTATCTAATGTCTTTGTGAGAAGTTAAAGTTTTCCTCTCACTTCTCCGCTCCTGTTTTAGCAGAGTTCTGCTGAGCTTCATGTTCGTGTTTTGTGTATTATTGTCATCATGTATACTGTTGTAACGTAAACATAAGCTATTTAAGAATCATGCATTTTTCAATTTTAAAATTTCCTCATTTCTCATAATTATGATGCAGTCTCATATGTAATATCGATCGATACTTTTGAATTTCAAAGGTGATTGTGCCACCAGCAGCGTGATTTGTGATATTTGCACATTTGTGAAAAAGAAAAAAAAAAGTTAGAAATCATCAAATGTCTTGTAAGAAAGTAGGTTGGCCACATTAAGCTCAATGCTTCTTCTACTGAAATTCTATGGTAAAAAAATGAATAACGTCCAGTTTAGTCCTCATCAATGATCAAAGTTTTAAGTGTCTGAATTTGAAGAAAAAGAAAATCAGGGTTTTGAGAGTGGCAGCGGTATGGCTCTTGAACTCTGCGCTAACAGTCTAATGTGAATTACATCAAAAAGGTCACAAAAGAAAAGTCAAAAAACACAAAATTAGGGGGAACAAAAAATAAGCGCCACCACAAAGGTTTTGGATGAATAAGAATCACATTCTATACTATCGTAAAGTTTGTCATCCTGACGTGAGAAAGTGTCCATTTTAGAGAGCTGTAAAATGAATTGGAATTATTCCGTCATGTTTGACGGTGTCTAATATTTGTATTTCGTATTTTTTTTTTAGAGTATTTTGCAAAAGTTAGGCAACAGTCTAATGGAGATTCCATTATATTAGTAATTCTTTTTGTTGTATGGTGTTTTAGTCATTTTTTTAATTAAATTCTTCTTTTGCGCGGTTAACTTGCACAAGATGTCTTTTTAAGGTGCGATCTAAGCATAGATAAAGAATTAAAATCTTAATAGATTAACAGTCCTCAAATTCAAATTTAAATTAAAGATAAGACAAGTCTCCTACAAAAGCAAACTAGGGGATAATTCTGAATTTTAAGGGAATATTATATGTAAATGAGAACTTAGACGGCCAACAAACTGACCTAAACATTGGGGCGTATTTGACTATTGATAACTCTAAAAATTAGAGTTATTTCTTGTTAATTCTTGCTCCCATTGGACCATTTATATTTATATGCATTAGGATCCCAATTCATGGATCTCTCGGGTTGAGAAATAAAAATAAGAGGATCGAATCATTTCTTTTGACTCTTTTTTAAATTTGATAAATGTTGCATTTCCTAGCTTGTTTGTTTTTCTGTATTTTATCTTCAATTTCTGATTCTTGTGCTCTACCATGCTAAAGTCAAGATATGTTCTAAATCTGAGGTGTATTTGAAGAGAATTGAATTAAAAATGGCTGAGTTGTGTTCTAACTTCTCGTGGTGTGATTTCAGGAAGTTGGAAGTAAAATGTTGTAGCATTTTTCCGCAGCAAGACTGGCAACAGCAGCATTTGTGGATGACATCAACGTGCACCTTTGTAATGGAAAAAGACAAAAGTACACAAAAAACTGATGTTGTGCAGAGTCATTTGGACCCAACCACTCACTGAGTGACAGCTCAGCGTCCTTTGGTGCCCTAATGAAGAGTACATCCATTTTAGAGGAGTGACGCGGCAAGGAATGGAGGGGAGAAAAAAGGGGAAAAAAAAAAAGGGACCGAAAAGAGAGTAGATGAGCAAAAGCTAAATTGGGTATAAGAGAGAAAGGAGAGCAGTACGAAGAGGAGGTGATTTTCAGTCTTCTTCGTCCCGTGAAGCTTGCTTGAAGAAGGAAAAAGAGGAGAAAAATGCTAAAAGCTCCGAATCAGCTGAATCTCTCTTCTATCTCATCTATTGCATTTAATTTCTCTTTGAATTTACAATTTTGTTGAGCAATAATTATACTGATTATTTGGTTCTTGTAATTCTAATTATGAGCGAAATACTTTCTTGTTAGAATTATTGATAGAACTAAGGTTATAAGAATGAAGGTTAATTTGTGAATTCGCTTGAGCTTTTATTCCTGTTCATCCATGTGTGTTTACTGCTTATTTTTATTTTTGATTGGCCATCAACTATAGGATACAAGACTTAGATTAATACTGTGAAGGTTAATTTGAGTTGGATCTAACATGGATGATGCAAGTTTAATATTTTTGCTTAAGTTTGTTGATTTGTGAATAGTATATAAATATATTATTCATCTTGTATAACCCATTGAAACCAGTGCTGAGATCTGCATTCTGATAACTAGATTCACATAGGAATATGCTGAAAATTATTTAAAGAATTTAAGTCATAATTAATTCAGAATAATTTTATGCAAAAGTTGAGTTTCAGTTAACTGAAGTAATTATGTTATAGCATTTCCTACATCATTTTAATGCTTGACTTACAACTAAGAGAAAATTAATAATTCTAGCTTGTTTAAATCACCAATTACAACTCGTAGCTGCATTCTTGTTCCTTGCCAATCTTACTAGCATTTATAGTGTACCCATTTGCTTATAACATTTTAGTGAAAATCTGCTTAGTCAATTTATTTGTTTAATTTGGAATGTGTATGATTTTTACATATTATTTTTGGTGATACAATTTCTATGGAAACGATCAGTGGCGGAGCCACTTGAAGATGAACGGGGGCATCCATTCAATTTTTTTTGAAAAAAATATTACTTTTAAAAATTTTAAAATTTTACATTTAAGTTTTCACTGAAATAATATATGCTCCCATTAAAATAAATATATTTTCTTATATGCTCACATTAAGATAATTTGTTAAAAAAAATTTAGTGTACGCCTCCACTGAAACAAAAAGCTGACTCTACCACTAGAAATAATAGCCGTACTTTAATACACTTTATTATTTGTTTGCGACACGTGCACTTGCGTAGCATTGTAGGCAACAACTATACCTCCTCAGAAAGGACTTCATCCTGTTTATAGATTTTCAATCACCGTCAACACTTTTGCTTGGGATAGATGGAACTTAAGAAGACCTACTGCATAAACATCAACCAGTCCAGTTGCCATTATTATTATTATCATTTTTCTTTTTAATTTAACGTCTACTGAAAGAGTATTCAACAAGCAAAGACACAAATGAAAACAGGTTTTGAACCGAGACCCATCGTTTATTGTTTGATCACTTTAAAGTCTTGTGTGTGTTGAGCTAGAAGTCTACTTATAACAGAACGCGCGTGTTTACTTTTCATGGCTGAGATGCTTCAACTCATTGTAACCTAATATTAAGGGCTTGTTTTTTTTTGGAGTAAAACTTAAGAAAAAATTTAAATTTAAGTTATAATTTTATTTAAGTTCATATTCATTTGTAAAATTTGAGTTTAAACTTGAGTTTGAGGCTAAAATCTGAGTTCAAATTTCTCCTTCAACTCAAGTTCTTAAACTCAAATTAAGTTAATGAACAATATTTTTTATATTTTTAAAAACGTCATAACTTTTTCGTTTTAATTCCGATTGAAATGTTTTTTTTATGCGTTCACAACGAATAGACGAATAAAACTACATACATATACCCTATTAAAATTTTTCATCACCATTGAGTTTTTATTAAAATACTATTTAAATATAAATTTAAAATTTGACCCACTCAAACACAAACTCAAATAGATTCTCAATTCAAATCATAACTAAAATGTGCACATCTAAAGACAAATTTAAATTACAACTTTTAACTCAAATTTAATTTAAAATTTATATTTAAATTACTATAACTTAAAAATGTAACCGAACAAGCCCTAAGAATCATGAATGTATGCTTACGCGTGTAAGTAATGAAAGTATGAAAGCTTCTCTGTCAAGGCATATTGCATTTTCGAACGTCATCTTACATGGGATTGTGGGAATTATCATAGAATCAAATAGTTTATTTTTTTCTTCACTAAAATTTTATTGAAAGCAAGCAATTTCCAAACGCGCACTACCAAAAAAAAAAAAAAAAAAAAGAGTGTAGTCTGACCTTCTAGTTATCATTACGCAATTCAATCCGATTAAATTGAATGAAGTCGTCTCAGAATAAATGGTTCCCACATGATACAAAATAGGACCATTACGTAAAGCTAACCTACTGTAAAGCAGCCCGACTATCCACCTTTAGTTGAATAATAATTTAAGAGTTTTTCAGAAAAAATAAAATACCGTTAATTTTTTATTCTCAATTATTAGATTTGTATAAAAAATATCATTATGTGTACCTTTTTAAATTGATTTAATTTTAATAAAATTAAACGATCATAAACTAACACTATAGGGAAAGCCCGTAAGAATTTTCCTTTCGTAAAAGTTTACTCGTGATGTTGCTTATGTTCTATGGTTAGAAAGAGAGAGATAGCGAGGAAAAGAAGAAAAGAAAAAGATACTTGCATTTCATTATTTGGGAAAAAATGCCTTTTTTCTTTATTTTATTGAAAACACGTTTTTAAAGTTTTTTGTTCGCAAAAGAGATACCCTTTCAAATCTATTTTGATGTATTTATTTTTCTTCATTCACTCTCAAAGAAATAGGCAAAATGGGAGTAATAACTACCATCAGTAATCCCTTAAGAATGTTAAGTCTCGTTCATTTCATCGATTTGAGTTTTGTTAAGTAAAAAACTTTCAGAAACAGTTAGATTTAACTTTTTTATAACAGTAAAAATATATCACATAAAATTACATCTAAACTAAAATTAAAAATTCAAATTAACGAGCTCATTTAGTTCGCTGATTCTAATTTTTAATTCGAGTTGAGATGTAACTTTGGCTTAGTTTGGTATTGCTTTTCCCTCCCAAAATCAGCTTCTGCTTGAAGCAAAAGTTGATTTTAGTGTTTGATAAATCTCCTCAAAAGTGTTTTTTGAATAATTTTTTAAGAATCTATAGCCAAAATCAGAAGCAGCCTAAAGACAACTTTAGCTTTTAGATTGTGCATAAATCAACATAGTACAATTAATGAAACTTTCATAATACCCATAATACCCCTAATAAAATTTAAAATTTATAATCTTCTCAATATAAAATTCAAACTCGTAATATAATATAATATAATATAATATAATATTATAACAAATAATATCATAATTATATTAATAACTCTAATATTATTATTTTATCATATAATATGATATTATAATAATATTATAATTATTTTAATAATATGATATTATAATTATAATTTTATAATATATTATATATTATATAATAATTAATATAATTAAATATTAATGTAATTTTATAATTCTAACGTTATTATATATTATAGTGTATTACACTTATATAATATATTAATTATAATATATTTGTTTAATATAATATAATAATGAT